TAACACTTTATGAACCCAGCCCCCTGCAGCTATGCACCCCTTCCCCGCGTCGCCCCGCATCGCGCCGCATTCCCCGCGGTGGCCCCGCAGGGCAGCCTGGAGCTGAGTTCACCACACCCGCATGGTTGGAGTCGAGACCTAGGGGACCAGATCTAAGGACCCTCAGCCTGCCTGGGGCCCAGCCAGGCGGCTACCATCACCTAGAGGCTAGGAAGGGGACGACCCCTCGCCAGCGTCCCGCCAAGGGACCCAGGTAGAGTAGGGGGGACCCCGGACCCAGGAGCTGAACTGGTCCACAGCCAGGATCGCCAGCGCAAGGACCATGGTGGGAGGGGGCAGCCAAATTGGGAAGCCACCCCACACTCTATTTCCCAGTTGCCTGGGTTTATCTGGGGCCTGGCTGTCATCTTCCAAGACAGGAAAGTGAAACCGTGGAGAATCTCAAAGGAGCACACAGGTCATTTAGAAATCACTCCATGTGCTGTCTGAATGCTGCCGAGAGCCCAACCAGCCACAGTGGACCAGGCTGCAGGGTGTCCTGAGGTTGACCAGGTGGAGGGCAGACGTGTCCTTGCAAAGCCAACAGCAAGCAGGGGATCCAGGCAGGAAAAACAAGGAATGGGGAGGGGTGGCTCATGTGCCTGGAGGAGTCAAGGGGCTCCAGAGGAAGGGGAGATAGGGCTTTGGATGTGGGCCTTGAGCACCAGATCGGGGATATGGGAAACATTCTGTTGTTCTGTGATGGGGGACAGAAGGGAGGACCAGGTGGAGGATCCAGGGACCTCTGATCCCAGACTTGGTGCAAAGAGGCTCCTCCGTGCGGAGTGGCCCAGCCCTTAGAGGGCCACAGCCTCTGCTGGCTACTACCCAACCCACCCACCCTCCTCTGGCCCCCAACAGTCAAGCCCACAGGTGGAGGGAAGGACCTGTGTTTCCACTCAGCCTGACTTTGGTGGGCCCTGCATCTGCAGAGGTCCCTTCCTCCAGGTGGCCTGACCTCACCTTCAGCCCCAAGTCTTGAACCCCCTGCCTCCCAAGATAGCTTGGCTAGCCTAGCACTGCAGCATCCTGGTCTAGAGGGCCCTGGAGAGTGCCAGGAGGAGGTGGGGAGGATACAGCCAGACTCAGCTTGGAAGGGACAGAGCTGGACACCAGGGACAGCCACCTGGAAGATGTTGGAGACCTCAGGGCCTGGGCTTTAGCGATCCGAGTGGGGGTGGCCTTAAAGGGAAGGGAGGTCTGCCCAGGCAGCAGGGTCCCAGGCCCGCCACTGAGCCTGTTCCCTCCCCAGTGACATGAAGCCACCCCCCCCACCCCGCGCCTTCTGCCTGCATCAAGAACCCATCTCACAGACAAGGAAATCGAGGCTGGGTGGGTCCGTTCTCCCATGCACTCCTCTGTTTTCTGCTGCTTGGAGTCCCCTCTGCACCCACATCCTAGTCGCCTGGGCAGCCCCAACCACCTGCAATTCCACCTTGCACCCCTGCAGTCCAGGAATCACGGTCGAAGCTAGACCCCGGCCCACAAAAGGGGGGCGGGCGTGCAGGACAGGACCCTTCCCAGACTCCAAAGGTAGAGTAGGGTGGGTGCCCTGGGCCTCGCCTGTTCCATGCTAGGAGGGGGCGCCAAACACAGGACGGTGCATTAGCAGAAAACCCCTCACCCCAAGTGAAGAAGGGACCCTGGGGCCCATCCTGGAGGAGACCCACTGGGTCTCCTGAGGGCCAGCCTGTCCCTGCCGGCGGGGGGGGGGGGGGAGGAAACCCGGGGACTGAGACCCAAACTTCACCAGCGGTCAGAGGTACAGGGGGGCCTGGGAAGCAACAGAGATGAGTGGGAGCGCTGGAGGAAGGCCAAGGGGTCTCCAGAGAAGTGAACCAAAAAACCAGGGGATGGGAAGACAAAAGAAAATCAGACCAGATGGGAGGCCCAGTGTGCAACTGACAGTAGCTGCCCAAAGAGAAAAGAGGAGGGAACAACCATAATATAATAGTGATTATTATTATTTCCCCCAGCTAAGGGACCGAGACTTCTGATTAAAGCCTGTCCAGCACTTTGAGTGAACCTTCAGTCCCGAGAGCGTCCTGGGGGTGGGAGGCAAAAGCTCCTGACAGGCACCCAAACTGCTCAACCTCCTCACCCAGAGTCCATGACCCAGCAGTCATCCCTCCCTTCTACACAGGCTCAGTGAGTGCCCACCCTCTATCGGGCCCTGAAAAGAACAAAGCCCAGTCCTCCTGAGGCTTTCCAATCCAGCAGGGGAGGGTCCGGAAATAAATAAAAGAGATCAAAGCTCTAGTATCCCTTGGGGACAAACAAACAAACAAAAAGCAAGGTAGGATAAGGAACTAAAGAGTGAGGTGGGTCATGGAGGAGGCCAACTGCATAACTCCACGGAGAGACCACAGCCTGTGCAAAGGCCCGGAGGTAGGAGGGGCTATGAATTGAACATGCCGCAAAAGATATTTTCAGACAGGCCAGCTCAGAGAGTTTACTTACCACAATGTTTTCTAGGAAGATACTTGAAGACATGCAACATGGAGGGGCTGACAAGAGGTCTAGGAAACAGTGACTCCAAACCAAAAGAGTGAAAGGTAGGCAATGGGCAGCAGGAGTACCCAGCTGGCTGGGAGCAGGAGGGCCAGAGCCTGGCAGGGGGCCTAGAGGTGACTTGAAGTTAAGGATGTGATAAAGGCAGACAGTGTGGGAACATTAAGGCAAACATCAAGTCCAGAAAAAGTTAAAGCTGTCCTAAAGATAATGTTTTCCCAATTCACTGCTTAGCCTAGAATCATATTTACATATATAGTCGTGGCAGATGCTCTTGATTGAATCTGCCTACAGATGAGCAGGAAAGCGGTGTCATGGCTCTAGGACAGAGCCTGAATGCTGTCAGCCTTGACCACATGCAAGGCTAAACTCCTTGCAAGAATTGTCTGTGCCGACTCTGTCCACCTCTCCTCCTCCCGTGAAACCCCCATTCAGGCCTTCCCCACCCACAATTCACCCTGTTCTTATCAAGGTCAACAATGACCAGTGCTGCCAAATCTAGTGGTCCAGGCTTGGCCCTTCTTGACCTCAGCAGCATGTGACATGACAACCCCTCCTTTCTAACCAAAGCGCTCACCTGTGTCAGCTGTCTTCATGACTCTCGGCTGGCCCCTCTCCTCTGGGGACCCCTCCTCTCTGCCCTCTTAGTGCTCACCTCTGCTCTGTCCACACCCAGGCCACAAGGGTCCCAGCCAGCCCTTGTGTTCCTAACTCTCTCTCTCCGTCCCCGTTTCCACACATATCTGCCCACTTGCTTTCGCCTGCTCAGGTGTCTAGGGCACACCTCAAGACTGGCTCCTCCACCGCGACTCCAGGCCCTGTCTGGGGAGCTTGTGCTCCTACTTCCTCCCAAAGAGTACTCCTAGGAGAGGCTTTCTGAGACCGTCCCTATCTTTCATAGTAATAGAAACCACAATTTGTGCCGGGGCTCGTGGCTGCCCACAACATACAGGGTGCCCAGTTAAGTTTAAATTTTGGGTAAACGAATCACTTTTAGTATAAATATGTCCTAAATACTGCATGGGACATACTTAATACTAACGAGTACTTATACTAGAAGTACTTGTACTTTTTATACTGAACAGTATTCATTGGTCCTAGAATTTGTATTTGCTAAATTGGAGAACCCAAGCAGAGAACGCGGTCCATCCCCACCTCCCCGGCAGCCAGGAATGGCCACGTGACTGAAGCCAACCAATGGAACACCAGCATCGTCGGGGCGGGGCCCCGGAGGGAAGACACCTGCCTCCGTCCGCCCTCCGCTCCTTTCTGGGGCCCCAAGACTGGAGGATTCTGATCCCTGCCACCGAGTACCCCGCGCATTTCCAGAACTGAGGGCTGGTCTGAGCTTCAGCACTCCCTCGTCTCTCTCTGGCCTGCTTTAGAGTTCACGGGCATCATCACCACCAGGCATCTAGCTCAACCTCCCAGCACGACCAAGGTAGGGCTGTGTGGTCCAGACAACGTGGATCGGCAGCAGCATGCCAGGCCCTTCCAGGCAGAAAAGCACTGACAGGACAGGTCCTGGGGTGGGAGCAAGGGCAGGGCAGGTGCTGTGGGGCCGAGGGCTGGAGGAAGGCTCTGAGAAAACGTGTGCGCACGCACGGTGACACGGACAGGCTGGGGGTGGGGACTTGTGAGCTAAAGAGGGGCGATCCTCCCCTCTCTGGCAGGAGCGCCGTGTTGCCCTCGGGCAGCCACCACTAGGGAACTAACACCCCAGAAAGGCCAAGTGTCCCACAGAGGTCACTTCCAACCATGGCATTGCTTGGATACTACAAAACATCGATGGAATGAATGGAGGGACAGAGGGACGGAGGGAGGGTCACCGGCTTCCTCCAGAGGGCTCCTGCCTGGCGCTATGCACACACCTGTGGATGAGTAAGGGCCCGTTACCCGCAGGCATAACACTTGTATTCAGACCCAGATTCTTATTCCGTGGTGCCCAGGGGCTGGGCTGGGGCTGTAGGAGGAGCCCGGCAGGCTGGGTGGAGGCTGTACAGACCATGCCAGCCCTCCCCGTGCCCGGAGGAGCCTTCTCTGGCTGCCGGCTCCTCCCGCCTGTCCTGGCAGCTACCGTGGGCTAGGCTATGCGGGGCCCCACTGGGGGGCCTGCGGGGAGCTCCCAGGGCAGCCATCCCCAATGCAGTGCAGAGGATCCCTGGGGGGCTCGGCCCAGGGACATTTGTTCTGGGGACGAGGCCAGCTTCTACACTCCCCTGGCCTCAGAGGGCAGGCAGGCAAGTGAGGTGTCTGAAGGCTGACTTGCAGTGGCCACGAAGGGCCTGTGGGTATAGGTCCACACATGGGGCTAGACACGCGTATCTGCTCAGCACAGGCCCTGGTGTGGCCCACATGGAACCGCTGGGGAAACTAAGTCCCACACCAGGGACCACCGAGGGCGACGCTGGTGGGCTCTGGTGGCCAGAACAGGGAGACAGGACACAGTGTGCTGGGCCGGGTGTTTATTGATGAGGAACAGCGGTGTCTGAGGATCCTCAGCGCCCCGCAGGCCAGCAGGCACACAGGGCCCGGCGCTCGGCCTGCAGCAGGAGGGTCTCCGTCTGCAAAGCAACAAGGGGCAGTGAGGGCAGGGCGCTGCGCCAGCGCTCCGCCCACCAGCTCCCGAGGGCACGCCATCTCCCGGCGCTACCAGCAGTATACCCTCTCCGCCTGCTCCTGAGACCTCGGAGCCCCCAAACACACTGATTGTCAGACCCTCTCCTACCCTGTGGGCCTCCACCCCTTCCCACGCTCTTCTTCTAGACCCTCCGCGGTTTCTGCCAGCACAGCTGTCCCGTCTGGGACCCTGCACATGCTCATTCCAGGCCTGGACAGCTTCAACCCGTATGCTGCCTCTCAGGGACCCCCCAACGCCATCCCCAGGTTGGACTGGGGCTGCTCTTCTCAGGAGCCCAGCCCCAGACTCAGTGAGATTCAGATCCTGGAGGCACTCTAAGGCCTCCATCTGGGCCCTGCAGAGCTGGCCAGAAAAGGGAACCAGGGTGGGGTATCCCCTTCTTTCCACTTCTGGAGATTCTCCCCCATTCCCAAACTCTGTCCTAAGTGAAAACTCCCTTGGCTGAGGCACGGTGAGGACGCAGGAGAGGGTGGGAGGGCTCAGTGTTCCTCCCAGACTTGGGGGTTGACCCTGCACCTAGTACCCTGTGCATAACACCCATCCCTCCCCAGGTGAGGCTGGGGGGTGTGGAGCCTCCCAGACCGCCCTGCCCAAGCTGCCCTTTCTTGCCCAATCCTCCCCCCACACCCGTTTCTGACCCAGGGAAAGTGACCCCTCTTTCCCCTGCCCGCTGGACCTCACTGCCCCATGGGGGGCGGGGTGCTGAACTGAGACTGGAGGTTCTTCCTCAGGTCCTGGGTGTGGCTCACAGGGAAAAAGGCCTAATGAGGCCTTGGGGAAGGGGGCACCCTCCCTCACCGGGTCTGGAAACGCTCATGGGTGAGACCTGCGCCCACAATGCCCCTCAGAACACTGGAGCCAGATGAGAGCAGGAGGACCACCGGTGGTGCCACAGGTTGGGTCCTTGCCCCGCTCCCCCCCAGACAGCTGCCTCCCGGCCAGAGGAGCTCACCCTCGAGTCCAGGCTGTAGGCCGTCTTCCGAAGGTCCTGCAGGGCGCGCTGCATGAACTCGAACGCGTGGCAGTCCACGCACGGACGGCCTGCGGAAGTGCGCATCAGCGCGGAGGGAACGTCACCCTAGTCCAGTACCCCCCCCAGCACCTCCCACCGAAGGGGGGGCCGGGGGCCCGACCGCGGAAGGGGCGCGAGGTAGGTGCTGGGAACAATGGGGAGGAACCGTGCTCTCGCACGCCCGGGTGGCGTCAGGGCCCCGTGGGGACCCCTCCACGACGCACGTACTCTGCGCGGGGACGGCGCTCCCGGCGGCGGGCTCGGCGCGGGCCTGGAAACCCAGCAGCGCCACGCTCAGCAGCAGCAGCCACGGCGGCAGCAACCTCGGGAGCCTGCACCGGAGCGGGGGGGCCATGGCCGAGCGCAGGGAGCCGGGGCCGCCCTGCAGCGAGCCGCGGGGGTCAGCGACGCCCTCACCGGGGTTCACGGACCCCCTCCACTCCGCCCTCACGCCCCAGGCCCTCAAACCCCTCGCATCCCGCCCTCACCGGGGTTCACGGACCCCCCACCCCGCCCTCACCCCCCCAGGTCCGTAAACCCTCGCCCTCAAACCCCCCCGGGCTCGCGCACCCCTCCCACCCCGCCCTCACCCCCCTCCCCCGGGCATGTAAACCCCTCGCACCC